TCTGGGTTTGGAAAACTTCTTTGATTTGTTGGCCATTGCCACGGTATTGTCTGGTCTACGCTTTCTTTCTTGATGTCCGCTATTTCGATGATTTTGCCTATCCGGGTTGTCTTGGTTGCTTCTATCCGGAACCTTTCTCGTGTTTTTTCTTCTGCAGAATCATTTTTTCTACTGCTCGTCTCAATTCTTCATTGTTTCTCGGATTTTCTTTGCGTAAGTCTTGAAATTGCCACCTAGCCATGATTCCGTGAGAAAGCTTCAATTACTTCTCGCTCGGTGATGTCATGCACTTGAGCCCGCATTCATAGAATCGTCGATAGTAATTTACGAGACTTTCGCCCCCCTTTTTGCTTGAGTCCTTTCAGTTCTGCATGAGTGATCGGGTGTGTGATGATACCCGCAAAATTTTCACAGAAAGCTCTTTGCAAGTCTTCCCAAGTTCTGATCGATCCTGGGTTCAATTTATCGAACCATTGGAGGGGCATCGCTTCCAGTGCCATGGGAAAGAACAAGGTTTTGATATCATCGTCTCCTCCGGCTAGTTCAATTGATTGTGAATATATTCTAAGCCATTGTCTTGGTTCGGTTTTGCCATCATACTTGGAGTGGTTAGACGGTTTGAATTTGTGAGGTAATCGTACTGATGCCAACCTATTTGCAAAACAGGGGAATCTGTCATGCATTCCGGCTTCCTTGAATTCAGATTCGGCTCCTTCTTCTGGCCAAGTGTTGTTTTGATGGGAATAAGTCTGCGAGGCTGTCTGGGTAGGCACTCTACTCCTGGTCTTCCTTGGTTGTTCAAACTGGTGGCCCCGACTATGTTCCCTCCTACTTTCTCCGTTATGGCTTCCGCCTGGCCCAAGTCTTTCAAAAGCGGACTTCCTTTGATTTTGATCTTCTTGCCTGCGGGTTGTTGATCTGGCGGGTAGTCTTGATCGGGCTCTCTCCTCATGCGTTCTTGGGATCGTCGACCGGAGCAAGTCCTGGAGCTGTTCATACTTCTCTCCGTGATGTGAAGTTGCCCTGAGTTCTTCTAATGCTTCTCAAATCTTATCGTAAGGCGTATTCACTATGCGTCTTTCTTCGGCTTCTTGTTGTGATTTTCTTTTGTCGTATTCAGCCAACTCTGACTCGTATCTGGTCCAGGCTTCTCTACGCTGTCGAGCGCGGTGTTGGCGCCCTTGCTTCAACTTGTTTTTCCTTTCTCTAGCCTGTCTCTGACTCTCGGTTTCTCCATCGTAGCCCTGGGCAAAGGGTGATATGTTGGACTCTGATTCATCTGATGACCTGACATCGGGTGCTTCTAGGGGATTTAATGGTGACCGAGGACGTCGAACCATGAGCATCTCCCGTGCGTGAGTCGTTCCGTTATTGGTGTTAGTTTTCATACTGTCGGAGTTGCTGATGGCTTCAGTATGCGCCTCGACGTCGTAGATCGAGTCTCCTTCTTGGTAAGGTAGAATAGCTGTTGTTGTTGTGCCGACTAGTTGGGTTCCGCTATCCTCAGGAATGGATCCTGGCCAGTGGATGATACAGTCTTGCGATGTTATCGTTAGTACGAGACCCTCCTAAGCTCCTGTCAGTGGTATCCCAAGTGTTGGATTGAAAGACCTTTCGAACTGTCCCTGATAGGATTTTGTCGTGTTGTCGAGCCCAAATGGAAAAGAACTCGGCCTTTTGAAAGAATTCTGAGGATAATCCGAGTTGTTTTGGGTTGTGCTCTGGAATCTTACCAAAAAAGAACTCGATTTCTTGAAAGCACTCGAATAAGACTTCATCTCGGATACGGAGCTTGAATTCGAGTCGGATGCGTGTAGCCGTGGAATCTTATTCAAATCGGGTATTATGGGCTGCGCGAATCTTCTGGTGAGCTGATCCGTCGTAGTTGTCGAAATAGAAGATTCTTCATGATGATCCGGATCTTTGAGGAGATGGCTTTGAAGCTTGCCGTAGTTGTCCGCCTCGCAGATCCATGAGCCGAAGATGAAAATCGATCCCGTCGGGAAGATCATGTTATTGAGGTCCATCGAGCTCTCGGATGCAAAGTCGCCGAAAGCCCCTACCTGGCGCGCCAGCTGTCGATGTTTTACCACCGGCAACCCGTCACGGGGTACCCGGGACGGTGATTTGTTCGGAGGGGTATCGGCGTTTGCAGGAACTCGATGGTAAACGCAGGGAGACAACGATTTATACTGGTTCGGCACGCCGGAAAGTCACGGCGCCCTACGTCCAGTGTGGGGTGGATAGTATATTGCGCCCTGCGCTATTTGTTGTGGTTGTAAGTTCTGTCGGTTATGTCTGTCGCTCATGTGTGTGTGTTAGCTGCCGATCTAGGGACCCCTGCCCTCCTTTATATAGTTCAGGAGAGGCGGGAGTCCTAGTCGGTTACAAAGTAGAGATCCTAGTAGGATTACGTGTAACTAGTCCTAATAGGATTACATGTAGGGAATCCTAGTTGGACTAGGTCTTCTTCTCTCTTCTCCGTGGGAAATCCCATGGGTCCCGTATCGACAGTCCCATTACTACCATATTGCCATGTTTCAAAGTATGAGAAATTCATGTTACATTCACGTGTTGCACTACTACCATTCTAAGCAATCCAGTATGAAACACACACAATCGAAAATGTTGCATATGCATGTTTCAGTAACAATGGCGTGATGAGATAGATGATGCACATGTTTATGAAATGAAATGCAATTAGTGGAAGCCAAACACCTAGGGTGTTACAGTTTTGGTCATTCCGGCCGACGTCTCCGACGCGGAGCAATCGAGGCGCGCCGTCGAGGACACCGTCGCTCACTTCGGAAAACATACGAGACCGTCTCTGTATCTCTCTAGATATGTCTCCATCCTGCATCCTGCTCATGGAGTCATGGTCATCTGAGACTTGTTATTGTCTGATCATGTCAGTGAACCACCTAGTTGCCAATGCCGGGGTCTGGTCCAGCTGCTTCTTCGACGAAGTCACCAACATAACTGGGTTCAACAAAATGATGGTAAACCAATCAACATTAAGAAACTACAACAAATATACTATGAGAATCAAGTGGGTGTTGTTTTTGACATGCATGCATGCGTCCATATATTTACCCAGGATGTGAATTTCTGGGGCTCTGTCTACCCAACCTACTACGGGCCTATTCGGCAGGACTGAAAAATACTGTTTCGGCTGATTGTTGTGAGAAAAAAATACTGTTCTGGCAGGACGTGAACAGTGATTTTGTGACGTGGCTGGCCACTCGGCAATCAGCCAGCCAGCCAGCCGAACACGGGCTACGCCCTGCCACACCTGAAGGCCAGCAAAGGAAAACTCATCGTGTCTTCCTCCACAGCCGCGACGGCGCCTACACCTAGGATGAGCTTGTACAATGTAAGCAACGAAACAGTACATACCTATACACCTAGCTAATTCAGAAATAAAACAGAGAAACTGTATGTGAGTGCAACAGTTGTTTGTTTCACCTAAATCCTAATGGCTTCTCAAGATTAATTAAATTCTATATGTGTGCAACACAACAGGCTAGCAAGGCAGCATAGCTCAGGTTCTACGAGACACTGAGATCGGAGCTTGGCTCCGAGGTTGGGGTGACTATGCTGACGGCCGGATTCGTGTAGTCTGAGATGACCAAAGGCAAGGCGATCCAGAAAGACGGCCACATCGCCATTGACCTGGAGGCCAGAGATGTAAGTTGCAACAAATTAAACTATATTCGGTATCTCAGTTATGTCAAGTAGCACTGTAGCAGAGCTTCCAACGTGAGGGACATATACATGCATGTCGTTTGCAGGTGCAGATTGGGGTGTTCCCAGTGGCCCGTGTCGAGAAGCTGTGCGAGGTAGCCTTGGACGGCATCCAGAGAGGCGACTGGTACCGTGACATGGCCGTCGCTCTACCGGCCAATACCGCTCATCGCCTGCCTCGCCCCCGAGGTCCTCAACTGGCAGTCCTACGCGTTGTACAACGCCAAAGATGGGAGCCCGCCGCTGAGCCAGGGAATGCTGGACGCCACCGGAGCCAAGCGGTTCTACCTATAAATGTCCATGTAGCTCGAGGCACGGCGGCCCGACACGAAGCCCGCAATTTTGGCCTGGCCCAAGCACGGCACGGCCCGATGGTCAACGGGCCTGGGCTGGCCCGGCCCGAGGGAGCAGGCTGTGCCTAGGCCGCTGCTCAGGCCCGTGGGCTGGCACAACATGGCCCGGCCTTCAACGGTCGGCCCGGCCTCCCCCGCCCCCCCCCTCCTCCCCAAGGCCCAACGTGAAGCGGCCCACCCCAACGGCTCCCTGCCTCCCCCCTCGTATATAAGCGGCACGCTGCGGCACCCTCTCCCTCACCCCTCACCCTAGTTCATTTCACCCGTTGCGCCGCTCCCGTCTCGCCTAGCGACACTGTAGTCGGAGCCACGGGAGCCAGAAAAACAAGCTTCTCCGGCTCCGGTGGTGTCAGTGTGAGAGGAAACTGAGGAGAGAGAAAAACGGCTTTGATAAACAGTACATAAACAGTGATTCGACGCGGGAGCCGGAGCCGTCCGGAGCCCGGCCAAACGGGCCCTGAAATGTATTGCCTCTTCATTATTGAGTGCGAATCTTAACGCAAGCACATGGTACACGGCCAGGATAACCCGTGTGGCCGCAGGGACATTTGGAAAATCCACTTCCGAAGAAGTCCGATCTCCGCGGCAAGCCTTCAACACTCGCGCCAAAACGCAGTCGCGCCGCCCAAATATCGCGCCAGAAAATTCCCGATGCCGTGCTGATATTGGGCCGAAGCCCAGGAGCAGAGCGTGGGGGCAGCGCACATGCTCTGGAGTCCTGGTCACCGTCGGATACAAGGGAACGGCCAGATGCGCAGTGACGGTGGAGTAAAGTCATCCGGAACGACTGCAGCCCTACCTTTCGCCGCCGCCGCACCATCGCCCGAAACTCTAGCCCCCTTCGGCGCCACCGCTCGAATCCCAGCCCCCTTCGGCGCCACCGCGACCGTCGGAGTGGAGGCCATGGACGACGTGTGCGAGGGGAAGGACTTCTCCTTCCCGCAGCAGGAGGAGCGGGTGCTCGAGCTGTGGGCGAAGCTCGACGCCTTCCACGAGCAGCTCCGGCGCACGGAGGGCGGTGAGGAGTTCATCTTCTACGACGGCCCCCCCTTCGCCACGGGCCTGCCCCACTACGGCCACATACTCGCCGGCACCATCAAGGACGTGGTCACCCGGCACCAGTCGATGCGGGGCCGCCACGTCTCGCGACGCTTCGGGTGGGACTGTCACGGCCTCCCCGTCGAGTTTGAGATCGACAAGGCGCTCGGCATCACCAACCGGCAGCAGGTGTTCCACCTCGGCATCGGCAAGTACAACGAGACGTGCCGCAGCATCGTCACCAAGTACGTCTCCGAGTGGGAGGCCATGGTCACACGCACGGGGAGGTGGATTGACTTCAAGAACGACTACAAGACCATGGACATCAACTTCATGGAGAGCGTCTGGTGGGTGTTTGCACAGCTCTGGGAGAAGGACCTCGTCTATAAGGGCTTCAAGGTCGCATCTCTAACCTCACTCATAGCTATTTTTCGAGTCTGTTGATTCTCATAATTCTGAGTTGTACAAAGTTTGACAATCTTAGGATTCGATGGATTTAGTTTGACAAGCTTTCAGTGAACTAGCAGGAACCCCGTGCCACTGCGCGGGCTAGTAAGCTCTAACACATAAGTTTTGTCATAAGAAACAATAGAATCCATTAGATACGGTGTTCTTGAATATTGGCGCCTCTGAGATTTAATCACATTGCACAATGTTGTCATAACAAAATACAATGTGGTTGTTCCAAACTAAAGACACTTCTTTACTTCTTGCTCATGCTTAGAATATCTGGAATATGTTGTAAGTAAAACATCTGGGAAGCTGAAGGCACTGTAGTAGAAAAGGATAAGGCATAAGATAAATGTCAATTAGCAAACAATAAGCACAAACGGCAATGGTGACAAAACTATGCAACCTGCAGCTCACTACTGAGGCATCGAGAAAATGATGGTCGACGACATCTCGGATAGAGGTTGGGGATGGAGGGAGTGGGTTCGGGTGAAGAGGACAGGGCCGGTTGAGGTAGCACGTAGCAGAGGGCTGTAAACAATTTTGTAAAAAAAAGCATTTAGAGCAATAAGCAAAAATGCTAATACAGTCAAAGCATCTGAAGTATGCCTATTTTTGTGAAGGTCATCCTGCAGTAACAAACCTTTTTGCAGCATGTAAGAAAAGCAATGCATGTTGGAAAGCAATAGATCTTGCAGCTAAGATCTCAGAAGGACACTCAAATTAGCAAACCTCATTAGCCTCCGCTCTTGTATCTCAGGATAGTGAATACAGCATAGGCACGTCAGAAATCTAATTTGAACTTTTGAAGCCCTTGATGGTGCTTTTAGAAAATTCCACCTACACCTGCACATACAAAACAGCTGTGAGGACAACATTTTGCCAGAGCGTTCAAAGTTCTTATTATCAAGAAACTGTTTGATGAATATGTACTTATATAAGAAACGTCATTGAGGAGTATGTATCATAGTCTTAATCACTGTTGCTATGCTGAAAATCAAGAAAAAAATGTGAGCAACATGTAATGAAGATAGTTGTCCTCTATGAGTACAACAAACAGGGAGGCGCGCTTCGCTGCATCCGCAGTAGCTGCATGCTTCTATATCTGTTTGTGCTTTTGAGGTGCTACTATAAGTCTCTACGGCAAAGCACACAACGACAGGACAATATTTATTAATTTGTTTATTACATATGTACAGCATAGTGAAGCACCGCTTTGTGGCACCTCAAATGTACATTAGTTACACTTACACGTCTAGCAGTATCGTTACACAGATTGCATGCCTTTAGGAGAGGAGAAAACATTTCACAAATATTATGGCTTGAGAGGTTATATGTCAATGGCAAAGTATGATCTTTTCATTGTCACAGAGAGAAATTGCCAAATAGGTACAGGAAAGTAGAAATGCCTGACATGTTATGAACTCCTAAACTTTAGGAAAACAATAGCAGCTGAACCCTCGGTGAAATTAGTGCAGCAAGAATAAAACCACTGCAACTTCATCACTTTTGTGCTCTCAGAATGTTCTCTCTGCAATTTCTGTCCAGCTGTGTACTTAGATACACTTGAGAATAGGCTTTTAAAACAATTAAACATTCTTGGTCCATAATAAAACCACTGGTACTGCATCACTTTTGTGCTCTCAGAATGTTCTTTCTGCAATCTCTGTGCAGCTGTGTCCTTAGATACATTTGAGAATAGGCTTTTAAAGCAATTAAACATTCTTGTTCAATCACAGTTTGGATGAGCAGCTCAGCTCATTAGAATTAATTTCAACATTAGTGGGGCTGACACTGACAGTAGAGATAATCTCAACATGAGTAGAATTGATCGAATGCTACACGAAACTTTGAAGAAAGAAGAATAAATCAATTTTATCAGCTAATGAAGGAGGTGAACTCTCTGCTTATTGTGTATATTTCTAATGGGAGTTCATATTGCCCAAACAAAAAAACTTATTAGTAGTATAGAATAATAGGACTGGTCTTGGAAGCAATTTAGTTCTGTGACAATTTCATAAGTCAACTAAAATTGAGCATGTGCAGACCAAGGAATGAAAAAAATCTGGCGTCAACTAAAATTGCAACAACAACCAATGATTCAGTAAAGCATCCAAGGATCGAAAACTAACCTGGCACCCATCAACGGCACTCTGCTAATGTAAAGTTTCAGGCACAGGCATAGGAAGTCACCAAAAAAAAAGAGAACACAACAAGCAACACTAACACATTATTTCTTTCTTTTCTGTATCCTCTTATCCAAATATCTATCATTTGTTTGAGAAAAAAATGTCCAGGGGAAAATACCTGGAACTACTACTGATTGGGCTAAATCGTCGGCACCCAGATGCTCCGTTCTCTATGATGTCCCTGCAAGAGGAAAACCTGAAGAAGTATTACGACACGCTGAGGAGAAGAGGTGTGATCAGGACTACGGCACAGAAGACGAGTAGGCCGAGGCGAACTCACCGAGATGTCCGCGGACGGCGAGTTCGGGACCACCGAGGGTAGCGCCGCCTGTCGAGACTCCTGCATCGCCGCTGGGGAGGCCGCCGGTGCCCAGGTTGCACTCGCCGGCGCCGAGGCTGCACCTGGTAGGGCTTGCCGCGGTGGGGCCCTGTGCCGCTTGGGTTTGGCCGCGCGGGGTCGGCGGCGTCGCAACCTCCAGGGGGGCGCGGACGGCGCACGGCAGCGCTGGCTGGCCGGGTATGGCGCCGGAGGCAGGGGCGGTGCTCGACCGGGTCGGGGGAGGCGGGGGGTGCAGGAGGAGAATCGCCACGAATGGGGAAGAGAGGACGGGACCTTTTTTTGCTGGAAGGTTCGGCGGAGGTCGTGGAAGGCTGGGTGGAGCCGTGGACGTGTTGATGTTGTGTCCGGTGATGCCCTTGTGCCCGTTGGTGCGGAATCGGACAGACATGAAAAGACAGTGACATGGCTTCACGAGGGAGCAGAAAATGTAGTATATGAATAAGGGTAATGGTAGATTGGGAACTTAACAGTGTCTTTGTCTGCACAGTGACTACATTGCAAATTCTGCTGTCTCAATGCGAGAAGTACATCTCCTTGCGTATTTTACTGTTATTATGCTGAAATGCTGCTTTGATCGTTTAGATCAATAATTTTATATATGAACTTTTAGCTTGCTTTAAATATTGCTTCTGTAAGGTAAGAGAGTGACATTTTTATTTTGTTGATCTGGGTTTTGTGATAGCACACATGTTTCTTTAGGGGTGTGGTGTGGTTGTAATCTTGGGAGTTATGTGTGGCTTGTAGGGTAATCTGTGCACTGTAGTTGCTGCTAATGTGTTGTTTTTAATCCTTCTCGAATAGAAAAACAATAAACAAATAGACTATCTGGCAATACAAATTATCCTCTCTAAAATGAGGAAATGGATCTATGTTCTATTTTTGTTCATTGTATTGCAGGGAATTCCTATTTTTGTTCATTGTATTGCAGGGAATTCCTTAAAACCTCATGAAATCTTTGTTCTTGGTATAGGTCATGCCTTACAGCACAGGATGCAAAACTGCACTGTCAAACTTTGAGGCAGCACTGGACTATAGGGTTGGTTATTGGCTTCCTAGTTGACCTAGCTAATTTTATTGTTGCTGTTTATAGTAACTGATTTTTAAGTTGTACCCTAGGCTGTTCCTGACCCAGTGGTCATGGTATCCTTCCCTATTGTTGGTGATGCGGACAATGCAGCTCTTGTTGCATGGACGACAACACCCTGGACACTTCCAAGTAACCTAGCGCTGTGTGTCAATGCCAATCTCATGTATGCAAAGGTTGGTACTTTGCTGTTTTTGAACCCTATTTTTCCTTTTCATTTTGTAATTTTGGCACACTATCTTCCTATTCTGCTGCATGTCTACAGGCCACCCCAGTTTGTCAGTTCTTTAATGTTCCCACACTTCTTTACTTGTAAACTGCTGTTTATTACATTCCATTGAGGACATTTACTGTGTACAAACAGGTTAAAGACAAATCAAATGGAGCAGTATATGTTATTGCAGAATCTAGGCTTGGGCAGTTACCCGTTAAGGCCAAAGCTTCAGGAAAGAAGCAGGCACCTTCAAAGGGAAGCAATGCTGAAGCTGTTCAGGATGGTTTGGACAAGGAATCATATGAGCTGTTGGCAAAGATTCCTGGGGCATCCTTGGTTGGCTTAAAGTGAGTACTTCTCTTTTAAATTTAGATCAATCTTGTAGTTGGAGTTGTTTTCATAGGATATGATATCCACACCATTATGTTAATGTGATTTATATTACATTTATCATCACTTCCCAGCACTTCAGTGTTAGAACTTGTGAACTAGAATTTCCAATTCTATTTACTCAAGTTGTGACTGGAATACAATGGTCTTCCTTAGACTAGCTTCCTGTTATCCTTATGTTAGCCACTGGTTTGTTTTGTAAGGTGTTTCTTCTTTGAGCTAAGTTGTAACTCCATATAGCTTTGGACTTTGGACATCCCTCTGCAATTTTAGAAACATTCTGCATTTGGATATCTTGCATTGATATAGCTAGCTTACTCCAACAACAGTTCCACTCCACTGTCCACGTCTACTGAAGTATTGTAGGTTGTGGACATTATTCATTTACCAAGCACTACCACTCTTCAGTCTTAATTGCTGAAGATTGTTTGAGAATATCAAATTCATGTGATAGCAAAGAATTACTGGAGTATGTATCTGGAGCTTTTTGGTTCTTATGGCTGTTACCTTTTTTTTTTCTCTGGTTACAGATATACTCCTCTATTTGATTTTTTCATTGAACTTCAAGAGACTGCCTTCAGAGTGATTGCGGATAACTATGTCACGGATGATAGTGGAACGGGTGTTGTCCATTGTGCTCCTGCTTTTGGTGAAGACGACCATCGTGTTTGCCTTGCTGCTGGCATATTTGAGGTTGGATTTATTCTTCTTTAATTCATTCATGTATATCCTCACTAACAGATGTGCCGCTAAGGCTAAGGTATTCAAGGTTGAGAGAAATGGGAAGATCAGTAAACCAGCAATCTCCTTTTCAGAAACTTGGGGCAATAGCCCTATCTATTTAATTAAAATGACACTATCAAACCAATAATGATCAGACAGTAGGACAATTTTGGGAAAGGGACATGGTAGTGCCCTGCCTCCACCCTTTACCACTATTCGATCAGCATGCTGCAATTCTAAAGATACAACATAAATGCTGAATGCCCGAACACTTGTTTTTTCAAACATCTCTCTTTAACGTATAACACCCCCCCAAAACATCAGTGAAGTACATACTATGCACATTTGAATTTGAATCTGATTAGAGCTAGAGCTTAGTTCGGTATTTTCCTAATGTTTGCAGTTTGCCTTGAATTACCTGTTAATTATCATGAATGATATACTTGTCATGCTTCTTTGATTGATGCAAACTATCTCTTAGGTGATGAGATTCAATGGTTCTATCTGATTTCTTATTCTTATTTCCCAATTTGAAAGAATGGTCGTTATCTAGTATGACTTTATGCATCTTTTGTACGTTGTATCTGTTTCTGCTTATGCAAGCATGACCTTGCTTTAGTTTTTTTTTCTATTTTTATCCTTTCCGATGCTTCACGTGCAGACTGCTGGACTTGTTGTCGCTGTTGATGATGACGGGTGCTTTATTGAAAAAATATCTGATTTTAAAGGGCGATATGTCAAAGAAGCCGACAAGGATATCATCAATGCTGTTAAGGTAAGTTGATGTTTCAGCTTTCCATGGACTAATATCTCATCTCAGTCTTTATAACCTTTGCTTCTAGTTGTCCAATCAGCACTCCTTTACCTAAAGATTTCATACACTTGTCTGATAAGATAAATGCTAAAATATTTCAGTTTCAATGCTAATATGACCCACTATTTTTTATCTTCCTGAGGATTGTACTCTGAAAAGTGATAAACAACATGAACAGGATAAAGGAAGACTCATTAGTAAAGGGAGTATTGAGCACTCTTACCCATTTTGTTGGCGATCGGGTACTCCTCTTATTTATCGGGCTGTTCCAAGCTGGTAACCTTCTATTACTACTGTGCATATATATTTTGTTCATATGCTGATAATTTATGATTTTGCCATTCAGTTTGATTTCAAGTTAGTACCAATGCATCTTCTTGTTCTGATAACCTGACAAGCCTCCCCATTACCAACTTCTCTTACCACATGTGTTGATCACTTTATGATTTCTTTACCTTGTTATAGTGAGCCATATACACAATAAACCATCCTTTTGAACCATTTTCGTTTTCTTTATCCCCTAGGAATATTACCATTAACAATGCTTTATACACAATGATTTATGAGTTTTTCCTTTTTGTTTGTGGCTCATGTTTGGTTTCGTCTCTAGCCTACCCCAACTTGGTTGGGACTAATATTATTGTTGTATATGTTACTATGTTACTCAGCTCATCTGCCCTTTATTTTCATTATGGTCTTCCTTCTGCAATACTTGTTTCTATTTGAGGGATGTAGCCTGAAATAGATTTGCTGTAGGTTTGTCAAGGTTGAGAAGATTAAGGACCAGTTGCTGGAATGTAACAAGGAGACTTACTGGGTGCCTGACTATGTTAAGGTATTTTATGGCTTTCTGCTCCTGATAGTGCCATGATGATGAAACCTTGTATGGAAAAACGCCGTGTGCAGGCGCTCCTCATAGCCCTTAACCGTATTTTGAGACCCATGGAATTTAGATGGCTATGAGGGTATCTCACGGCTATATCTCCAGAGCTTCTGTATTTTGTGATTATGGAGGTATATTGCATGGAGACATGTACTCCCTCCGTCCCAGAATAAATGCACATCTCACACTTCGAGGAGTCAACCAATCTGAAATTTGACCAAATATGTACAAAAAAGTACTAATGTTTATGATAACAAATAAGCTTCATTAGATTAATCACTCCATATATTTTCATAGTAAACTGATTTAGAGATACAAATGTCGATACTATTTTCTATAAACCTAGTCAAACTTAAGATTGGTTGAATCCTTGGATGTATGCTATGGCATGGGTCAAGGCTCAACCAGGTTCAGTAGGTGTGTAGCAACCAAACATAGCTCCTGAATTAGGGATTTTAGTTTTCTGAAGATAAGATTAACTAAGAGCATCAGATTACTCCCTCCGTTTTAGTAGGTGTATTTTGTTTTGTTAGGGCAAGCCTTTGGCCAACAGTTTCATTAGTAATACATGACTTTGCAATATAACTTGATGCAGCTAGTTTTGTATTGAAAAAATATTTGTGATTATGATTTTGGTGTATCACATTAATGGCATACTAATTGAGTAATTGTTGTTCGAAGTCTTGTCCTAACGAAATGAATACGTCCACTAATTTAAGCGGAGGGATACTTAGTTTGTGTTCAGTGATTTTCCACTGTACTGGTCATGCCCTTCCAAGGGGCTGTATGAGTTGCCTACACTACTTATTCTTCTTCTTAATATAATGATACGCAGTTCTCCGCGTGTTCGAGAAAAAGAATATGCAGAGGGTGTAGATTTGAGTATTTACATTTGAGTCATTTGATTGCTAGGGCTCGCTCTATATGTAAATAATATAGGTGCATCAGTTTTATCAAGAATGAATTATTCTAGTTTCTTTCCACAAGCTCTGCTACCAGTCTGAAAACGCCCTTCTTTTGGTAGTGTGCACTGTTTGTCGCAGCTATCTAATCGCAAGCTTTTGAATTCTTAAGTATCATCTAAAATACATCACTATGGCTATTGTTGTAAATAAATGGAACTCAGTCCGGATTGTCTAAAGGTAGTTGTAAAAACAAGGAGGGTTTTGAGGGATTCAACATAATGAACCATTAGGAATAAGTCGTCAGTACCTGAAATTTTACAGTCTAGATGAGGATCTGCATAAGAGCATTTCCAAGAGTCCGCATAATATTAGATATCCGATTTTCTCATATAGGGCCATCCTAAACATAAATCCACCATAAATCTTTTTTTCCCCACAGCAGTTTCCCTAAAATCAACCTCCTACTTTTTTTTAAAGATAGGGTGGATGGATAGTGACTTTGAGGTAGGACTTAGGAGGATGATTTAGGGTTCCACTAAATTTAGGTTGTTGGGTAGGAGTATGTTGGAGGAGATTTTTTGTGCATAAACCTTATATTTTTACAATAGTACATGTTGAATATAGGCACGCTTTGCGATGCTCTAACTGAACTAAATCCTGTGAAGGTATAGCTAGTTGTTACAATTTCGTAGGAACTCTTGGAAGGACCTTAACTAGTATAAAAAGTTTCCATGGTAACATAACATCCAAATGTGTGTCGGGAATTTCAAGAACGACCAGATTGCTGCTGATGGAGTGTTTTTCCAGTCACTAAACCCTACGAAGACTAGAAAAAAAAAACTGGACTGGTAGGGGAAGAACCGCCCCTACAGCATTGCACTGAGAAGAAGATCCAGGCGAGGCAACCGGCCCAGGAAACCCTCCGAACCCTGGCACATTCTCAAAGGGCCGAGCTGACTTGGGCCGGCAACACCGCAACACGGGCCGGCGCTTGCACCGTAGCCCGGCCAGCGCGAATCGCAGCCGAAGCCAGCGAGCACAGCGAGTTTTTTTTTTTTTTTTGGTGCGAACCGGGGTTCGAACCCCGGCTGGTGGGCACGACCACGACCCGCCACACCACCTGAGCTATCGCTTAGTCCGCTACGAAGACTAGAAAGTTGAGGAATTTTGCAGGCAGTGTTGTCATTTGTTCAGAAACTAGGTCTGGCTCTGGCATGCGCTTTAGAACTTGTGTTGGTGAGCATTAAATCAATATATTTTGGACTGCTTCCTCATTATGATAATCCAACACAAAGCCCCAACGATCTTATTCCCAATGATTGAGATTGGTCGACATGTGATTTGTACTTGTGTATCTTAGTGGATTCCATTTACTGTCTTGGGATAGTGTACTTCACAATCATTTGCATATGTGCTTGGTCCGCTCTTAGCTTAGACAAGGCACAAATTGTTTTGCCATGTGAGTTCTGTTTTTGTCCCATGTTTCCAATATTACTTCCTGTTGTCATATTGTTTGCAATAGATACATAGATACATACCTGACCTAAAATATCATCATGAAATTGTTTGGAGACTTCGTGTGTTTAACAACAACATATTTATGAAGGATGTTGCGAAAAGTTTCTGTTTTAATTTGCTTTATTCTTTAACAATGGTTTCCGGCAGGAAAAAAGATTTCACAACTGGCTTGAAGGTGCTCGCGATTGGGCTGTTAGCAGAAGTAGATTCTGGGGTACTCCACTTCCATTGTGGATAAGTCAAGATGGTGAAGAAATTGTTGTTATGGATTCTATCGAGAAGCTTGAAAAATTATCTGGAGTCAAGGTTAACATCAATTCAATTATTTGGATAAACATTCTTGTGATTTCATAGTATCTTTATTGAAGACAACAATGGTTACATTCTCTCGTTCTTTGGTGCTTAGACATTTCTTATGGCTAACAATAAAGACGTTATTTCAAGATTATCCTGATATCTCTCTAGACTTGTCGTAGTAACCTTTGATTTTTCTTTCTAAATATAACATCAGGTCACGGATCTTCACCGACACTATGTTGATGATATTACAATTCCCTCTAAGAGAGGACCTGAGTTTGGGGTGCTCAAACGTGTTGATGATGTAAGTTTCATTGGACCCTTAAGTACTGGTTCTTATTTGCATGTGCTGTACATCTTACTTTACACTGATGTTTCGGTACATTTTTTGTACTTAATGATTATTGTTTTTAGCTTTCCGGTTTCCATTAGGCATTAAGATATTTAGATGGGAGATAGGTGGAAATGAAATTTTGGCGTAATAGACTCGAGATGATTCAAGTCCAAAACATATGCTGCTAGTAATCTGTAATATGACTAGCTGTTGCAATTTCGTCTCAAGAAAACAAGCTTCTGGTGTTTTGAATACTCCCTCCAGTCGCTAATACATGTTGTTAGGGGATGCAAATTATGCATCCCCTAACAATATTAGTTGATACTAGTGGCTGGACGGAGTATTAACCAAATACATATCAATCAAAGTTTTTAGTTGTCTATAGGTGAGAAATGCCTTCTTATATTTGCTTCGATTTCTGTAGCATCAGAGGTTACCTTAGTTATGCTGATGTTGTTGGTAGTATGTAAGTTCCCTTTTGAAGTTTGAGTTTTGATTGAAAGCAGTGATGTGCAGTAAGGGCATCCGCAATGTATAGATCCAACCCTAGTTCTATATAATGATTTGACATTGCTTGTTAAAATAGTCAGTGTATAGGATCCGTAAGTGGGACCCATGAGAATAAAAAAAATCAGCTGGCCTTCTCCTCTCTTCCTCTCGACCCGTGCGTCAGCTCCTCCGATTCTCCCTCCCTCCCATGATCGCCCCTTTCTTTCTCCCAACCTAGCTGGATTCCTTCTTGCTCTCTCCCATGGCTGCCCCCTTCTCCCTCCCCACCATGGTAGCCCCCTTTCCCCACCCCACCTGGCCACGTGGCGGCTCCGGGCGGATGGAGGATGTGGTGGCACCGGGCACGAGAGGGAGGACGTGGCGGGGCGGGTGCAAAGTCGCTGCCGCGCCGCTCAGTCGTAGTGCCCCACCCGGCCGGTGCAAGAGAGAGGATGCAGTGGCACGAGCGCAGTCATTGCGGCTGTGGGATCTGTGACCGCTCCTCTGCGATGCCCAGGAGGCAAAAGTCGAAGGTGAGAGAGAAGCATTATTTTTTTTCTTTGGGAGCGGGTTCTATCCAAGGGAGCGAGTTCTCTATATATTTGGGTGCACAGTGTGAGGGAACCAGATGCATATAGGACCGGCATAGGCCCATTGTGGACGCTCCAAGATTTCTGAAACAATGAACCTAATCTCTGCTGGGTTGTTTGGTTACATCAATTTTTGCCTTTTCTTAATCAGAGCTCTTCATTTAAGAAATTCCCTTTCATGGGCCCACCTTGTGTGGGAGCTTTCAGCACTGCGTAGTGCGTACACCCTTTTTTTTATGTGTGAAAACTTGGCTTGCCAATACCATTGCCACAAATGTTTTGGAGCATATCAATGTCTTCAGTTTTGAAATGGTTCACTAAGCAATTATGGTTGTTACCCAGGTTTTCGACTGCTGGTTCGAGAGTGGGTCAATGCCATATGCCTACATTCACTATCCATTTGAGAATCGGGAACTATTTGAAAAGAACTTTCCTGGCAATTTTGTGGCAGAGGGTTTGGATCAAACTCGTGGATGGTTTGTTACTCTCTTTCAGAATAATATGGAGTGGTATAATAGTTTCATTAGGCAGTGATGATTGGAGGGTTCATTTTCTTCCTTCAGTTTGTTCAATTATGGCCTGTGGTGATATTTCATGATTATATGCTATGCGTGTTGTTTCTTATGGCATACTACTCGTACGGATCCTGAAGGATCAATCAAGAGCTGAGGTCTATTTGTTTTGAATTCATTTACTTCCTAAAACTTGCTCTCTGGCTCTACCAATGACTTAAAGCTGTTCTGGTTTTTGGTCTCTCTATATAGCAGAGTTATGGCAATAAACATTGCTGTAATAGCCTCAGTTATACAGCATTACACTTGTGATGTTTGCCTATTATTCTCCTTAACTATTAGCTATAAATCTGCTCATTAGTGACTATGAACCTAGACACTAGCAAGAACCTGGACATGTACACAACACACACATTGCTGACCAAACTCTGCTTCTTCATTTTTGTGCAGAAAACATGAATTTTTTAGTAGGTGCTTGACCTCACTCCATTTCTTTGTCATGCTCATGCACATCAAGTTTTCTCATTAAAAGGCTCTTAATTTCTTCCAGTTTATACTTATGTCCTTTACACTTCATGTCCTTAGCAGCCTGCATTGATCTAAACTTTTGAATCTGATCTAGTTCTTAATACTTCTGTTTTGTTTAATCCTAGATTAGTTCCTCCAAAGGCTGTTAAGAATAGAATCTCATTTTTTTGGGTCTAGAATGTATATGGTGCTGAAAGCATGTAATCATGACTAATACACTTTTATTCATGCCTTCATTCCATACTTATTAATAGTGGGTATTTCAGCTTTATGATGTGCCTTCATACTGCAGGTTCTATACTTTGATGGTTCTATCAACAGCACTGTTTGGGAAGCCTGCATTTAAGAATCTTATATGCAATGGCCTTGTCTTGGCTGAGGATGGTAAGAAAATGAGCAAGAGTAAAAAGAACTATCCTCCACCCAAAGATCTCATTGACGAGTTTGGAGCGGTATGTGGTGCTTGACTGCTTGCTTTGAATAAGTCAATGGCTGTTACTGGAAGATACATGCAACAGACTCGGTGTTGGAATTAGTAATTAGAATGAAATTTGTTCTGTTTCAGGATTCTCTGCGACTATATTTGGTAAACTCTCCAGTTGTACGTGCAGAGTCTCTACGATTCAAACGTGCTGGTGTCTTTGCTGTTGTAAGTTGATTTAATGAAAGCTCTGTGCTTCCTTCTTATCTTTTGGCCAGGCTACTGGTCTGCATAGATCACATGATATCATTTACCCAAAGCTATCAATAATTGCTATCTTGAGGAAAAGAACATGACCCCTGATTTGACCCACGATTTGACATGCTTTAATTTATCAGGTGAAAGATGTCTTCCTCCCATGGTATAACGCATACAGATTCTTTGTCCAAAATGCAAAGAGACTGGAAGTTGAGGGTCTTGCCTCATTTTCTCCGATGGAACAAGCGGTACTTCTGAAGTCATCCAATGTGTTGGATCACTGGATAAACTCTGCAACTGAAAGTCTAGTTAGCTTTGTTCACCAGGAGATGGATGCATATCGGCTTTACACGGTTGAATGTTTTCACAGTTTTTCTGGATATTAGTTCCCTTGTATTTCTGTGTTATGATCATTTGATGTAATTACCCCTGCAGGTTGTGCCGTATTTGGTAAAATACATTGACTACCTTACTAACATATATGTGCGTTTGAACCGCAAACGATTCAAAGGACGTACTGGAGAAGAAGACTGCAGAATTTCTCTTTCAACACTCTACCATGTATGTATATATCCAGTAGCATACGCTTCATCTGTTCATTGCTGCTGCATAGTGTCTATGTATTACTGAAAATGGTATTTTAAAGCAAGCTCATACATAATTTGTATTTGTATAGTTAGGGTGAAAATGGTTCAAGCAGCCTCTCCGCAGATTTTGCGGGTGTGGGGGGGGGGGGGGCTTGCCTCGGTTTTTCCCTTCCCCAGACCCCACTCATGTGGGAGCCTCCGGCACTAGGTCTGCCCTTTTTTAGGGTGGTATTGCGGTGATTCTGTTGTTTTGCTTCAATGTGAGATGTTAATCTGAACATCTGAAACAATCCTGGACACCAAATAGGCCTGTTTGGTACAGCTTATAAGCTGCTTATGGCCAAAATAAGCTGAAACCAGCCAAAGAACATGCTTTTTTACAGCTTATTCCGGCCGCGCTTATTCCCACCAGCAGAAGCTGACTCAGACCAGCTTATTTTGACCGCACTTTTTCTCTATTTGTACAGCTTATCTGAGTAGCGCTTCCTAGATAAGTTGTACCAAACAGGGCCATTTCATCATTTCTGTACCTTCAAATATTTAAAGCTCTCCCAATCATGCATACTTTGTTTTTTGTTTTTTGCTGGTTCTTTCTACAGTTGCTTATAAGATACTTGAATTATGAAAATGCAGGTTCTTGTAACAACATGCGTGGTGATGGCTCCATTTACACCATTCTTTACTGAAGTTCTTTATCAAAATTTGCGGAAGGTGTCAAGTAAATCTGAGGAGAGCATTCACTTCTGCAAGTTCCCTTCCACAACTGGCGAGGTAATTTTTCATCTAAACATTCTATTGTGTCTTACTTTAGCAGATTGGCTTATGACTTAATTGTTTGACTGATTTTGTTACATTGCCAGAGAGATGAGCGTGTTGAGCAAAGTGTAAATAGGATGGTGACCATCATTGATCTTGCACGTAATATTCGTGAGCGGCATAACAAAGCTCTCAAAACACCACTCAAGTATGTCTAGGCTTCCTTAAATTTGTGCATGTGCATGTTTTCTGTGACGATGTGAATCACTTTGGCAGATTATGCTTATAATACAGTCTTAAGCATGAAATGTGAGAAATCTTGGCTGTAGTAGTGGTTCTCAATTTCTCATAATATGGTTTATAATTTGAGTTGTGTTTTTTTGCATTCCTGTGCATGTAACTTGAAGAATTTGTGTATATTACAAAGTATAAACATCAAGATGATTGAAGCTGTTGAAATCAGATGGAATTACAGCATTTGAGTTTTATACTAAATTTTTGTTTTCATAACATTTTAAAATATAAAGAGGGAAAAATGCATACTGCATTTAGTAGCATTCAACTGTGTCATGTGGTGACTGATTTGTGTTTCAGGGAGATGGTGGTTGTGCATCCAGACAATGACTTTCTCGAAGACATCACTGGCAAACTGAAAGAGGTTTGTTAGACTGAAACCTATAGTCGCTGAGCTTGTCTCCCATTCTGAAGTTATGGAATTGTTTTGCGGTCATCAATCAGACACATTCATTTCAAGTTTTTTCTTAGTTTTCATTAAATTTTCTTCTTCATTGGTGGATGCTGACTACATCTACTTCATTCCATGTAGTATGTCATGGAGGAAATCAATGTTAAGACTGTCACTCCATGTAATGACCCCTTGCTGTACGCTTCTCTGCGAGCCGAGCCTAATTTCAGGTATTATTAGTTCAATGCACAAATATTGCACACTTGCACCCACTTCTCAATGCTTGTGGTATTTCATAGCGTGCTAGGAAAAAGACTTGGAAAAGACATGGGCAAAGTATCAAATGCGGTGAAGAAGATGACTCAGGAAGAGATCTTGGCCTTTGAAAAGAGTGGAGAGATTTCATTCTTCGGTCATTGCTTGAAGCTAGATGATATCAAGGTAATGTTCCATATACATGCAGTCCTTGGTTTGATGGCAATAACAGTTGTCTACAACACAACATTGGGTGACTGTATAAGCTTAAGACTTGCAACTTTCCAGTGCTTGGATGCTGGAAAAAATATCTTCATGTAGCAAATTGTTTTCAATTAGTATGATTAGAAGACTACTACGTCCCAAAAAGGAAGACCTTAGAGTTATAGGGTTGGTGGCATGTTTGCGCTTTCATCCTCATATGCTCATCACTGGGCATGGAATACTTCAGTGCAACATGTTTCTATTAGACCTCACAAGCTGTTTATTTCAGTTTTCTGCATCTTCACCATTTCTACAAATTTTACTTGTAGACTTTTTATTTTTAGGTCATCCGACAATTCAAGCGTCCTGAAAACGTGTCAGAGAAGGAGATTGATGCTGCAGGAGATGGTTCGTCATGAATATGCTACTTTGTCTAGTTAGTTTGGCTAATCTTTTCTGCTAACATCCCTATATTGCTTTTGTTATAGGTGATGTTTTAGTCATTTTAGATCTACGAGCTGACCAGTCATTGTTTGAAGCTGGAGTGGCTCGAGAGGTAGTTGACGAGTTTTCTATTTCTGTACAAGTTTTAGAATATTGTTTCTGAAACTTCAGTATAAAAAATATCTAAGGTTGCCCACGACCTCGATTGCTTATTAGCTAAATTTATATTCTAATATGGTTACTATAAGTACCTCTGCAGGTTGTGAACAGGATCCAGAAATTACGGAAGACTGCTCAGCTTGAACCTGCTGATCCAGTTGATGTGTATTACGAATCCGTGGGCAATGACAAAAACACACTGGAAGAGATTTTGAAGTCACATGTAAGTTATAACTGGTTGATCAACACGATTCTTGTTTTGGAATACCTTTTTCATGAAAACTACTTTATTCTGTACAGGATCAGTATATAAGAGACGCACTTGGTTCGCCAATTGTTCCAAAGGAAATGGCACCAAAAGATGTTGTAAGTTTCGATCCTCAGTCCTCGATCCTTTTTGTTGCACCGTTGATCTTCAAATTCAACTCGAATATTGCATCCTACTCAACCATATGCAACCTTGGTATCTTCAGTTCTTCACCAGTACTTGCTTTTGGTTGTTGCTTAGTACGGAGTATACTGCATTTTTTTTAGCATGTGGTGTGTCTTATGTATTTTTTGCATGGGTTTGAACTGGTTCTGTACCATTTTTTCTTTAATGAATGATAAACAACTCTCAGGTGTATTCAAGAAAAAAGTATACTGCGTTTGGAGATACCTATATTCTGATAATGTCCTTTTGTTCCATGGCAATGGGTCTTTTTTTTATTTAAGTTTCTTGTCATAATATGCCCAAGTACCAAAAAAAATACTCCTTTTGCTTGGCTTAGCTTGCAATTTTGACAAGCTATTTGATGCACAAATCAACAGGCTGCGCATGTCTGATCTACATTTTGAGCCTGTCATTTAGGATTACACGGGCAATATTTAGAGTTTATCAAACTGGTGTTTGCAGGTAGTACTTGGTGAGGAGTCGCACAATGTACATGACATGTTATTTGTCATATGCATTGCAAGGTCCACCCCAATTCTTTCACCAGATCTTCTTTCTCATGCCTCAGGTAAATCCTGCTGAATCCAGAGTACAAATTGTGAACTGCCCATGCAGACACTAGCTATTTCAGTTTTGAACTTTTGATACTGTGCAGTCCTGTGGACAGTCTGAATAATTTATGCACATGCTCTGATGAAACAGGCAACAGCAATCATGTGGAGGCGTTGAGAGTATATCTTCTGTCAAGGTCTCTTTCCAGATTGAAGAACCAGTTCCAAACTGGAAATGGCATGGTAAGCAGTCAATCCGTACGCTTCTTCCTTCCTTTTCAGAAAGGGTATTCCTTTTTTTGCTTATAGCTTGTCTACATTCTTCCAGATTACGGTCACGGTCGACTGCATTGAAGGTTATCCACCAATCAGTTTACAGCTAGGAAAGCATGTTTTTCTAAGTTCAGGGGATTTTTATCTGGCTAGTCGATCCTAGTTTTTGTTTGCAGCATCCAAATTTTGACTGATTCACCCTTTTGTCGCAATATGCTTAAACAGCTTGGTTCCATTTATGCATGTCACCAAAGTCATGTATTCACATTCATCAGTTGTTAAAGGTTATACCATGATATGTATCTGTGCCCCTGGGCACATGTGAATTTTGAGCAGATAGTATGTTTGCAATCTCCTGGGTGTTTGGTTCTTGAGGATTGATGTGGTCCATCAGACTTTGATGAATGAATCCATTGCATTCCACAAACCGACGAGTGATAAGATGAAAGGCCACTCAGTTCTCAAACCAAGCTCCTTTCCCAAAGTCTGTTAGCTGTCGAGTTAGACACTTGAGAATTGCGTCGAGGTAGGGGTGACCTATCGGCCGCAAGGGGCTTCCCATCTGGGCATTGCCGGAGTCGGTGATGACGGCCCCAGTGTAGCGTCATTTCTGTTTTTCGCTGAAACTGCGCTGCATAAAAACTACTACAGAACTATTGCCACATTAAACTGCGCTGCATAAAAACAACGGCAACTACAGAACTATCTGCGTACTATATAGAAAGACATCATTGTAAAGGAGTAATAACTATGACGATGTCGCCTATATAGAAAGACATCATTGTAAATGAGTAATTACTATGACTGCTCGATGCTTATACTTTTTTTTTTCCTTTGGTCATAATCTAGCTCTGCACGTTGATCTAGCTCTACTACTTAATTGCGATTGTATAACCTATTATGAAGAGAGAAAAAATGGTCTTGCAATTGCAATGGTCAGGCATACAGGGTTCTGAATGTACGTTGCCGCATCAGACTTGGCAAGCGAAGTTCGTCATGCATCGGCAGTACATTTTGTTTACTCTGCCAATGGCGAGGGAGAGTTTTGTGCAGTGCTGGCCTTTGATTCTTGCTCAAGCTTTAACACTGCAAAACCGATGGAGGAAATTACGTACACATTTTCGACATTATTTGCTCAACATTGCGAAGCACACATTCTACTTAGTACTATGTTCTCTTCCCAGGGAAGGGAGAACGACAAACACCATGAGGAGAGTTGTTAAAATTCTCTCACACCACAAGTCCACAAGCAAAGCCATGACAACCGACTCACGCAGCAACATCAAACTCCAGCAACCGGAGTCCGGAGACCAGAGGAGAGGAGACCAACAACTTTATCTTCACGTGGGTTTGAGGTCCTGAAACATGGAGGTACCACTTGATGTCGTTGTTGCCGGCGCCACCGTCCTCCTCGTCGTCCTCTCCAACCTCCTCGTCCTCGTCATCGTCGTGGTAGCAGTCATGGAACATCAGGCTCGTCTTCTGAGATGACGCCGATGTAAGACATAATCTGCCCCATTTCTCTCTTTGGCTGCAGATTAGGAGTTGGAGCTGGTCAGCTTAGCTGTCCACTCCCTGCTGCTGTAGCAGTAAGGCAATAGGCTATGGTAATAGTGGCTTACTTCAGCCATGTAGTATAGAGATGGCTGAGCTAAGCCTTGTATTTTAGGAGTAGGTAGTTGGTGTACTCATCAACAACTATGTACCTGATAGATCAGTTCAGTTGCCACATTTAAACTTCAGAGCTCTGATTCAGAGCTGGTGCGTGTGCTGTGTGTGTTCTTGAGCTCAACCCCTTCTTCTACCTCTAGCCATAGTGAGTGAGTCTACTGATAAGCTTGTTGCTTACCTGTGCAAGGCAGTAAGAGACCAACAAGTGGTATTGGAGCCAGGTTTGCCTGCGTCGCTAGAGTAATCGCCGACGATGGCACCTGGCTCGGAGACAGGCGACAACAACGGAGCTGGAGGCGGCAGTGCTGCTGGGGATGCCCAGCCACGACAGGAGGTCGTTGTGCGCGCGGTGCATGGGAGGTCAGCGACACCAGTTGACCAACACTGACTCGCACCAACTATGGCGAGTGGGCGGTGACCATGAAGGTCAATTTCAGAGCCCGACGGCTCTGGAATGCCATTGATAAGGGCACCGACAACGAAGAAGACGACATGTCAGCGATGGAGGCACTCCTCGTTGCCGTGCCAGCGGAGTTGTCGATGTAGAAAGTGACTAACACGTAAATATTTATAGTTTTGTCGTACATTGTGATCCGAGGTGGCCTAACACTCAATGACACATGATTTATACTGGTTCAGGCAACGTGCCCTACGTCTAGTTTGAGTCGGTCGGTGACTTTATTCCTAAGCCCAGGTGCTCGAAATTTGCAGTGAGGTTACAAACGAGAAGGAGAGAGATGGGGGTATAAGAGGTCCGGTCGAAAGGGCCGAGAGTGACGGGAACCCCGCTATGAGCTAGGTGTTCAAGCGTGTGCTTGTGGTTTGAACCTGGCGGTTCTGTGGTTGTGTGCTAGTGAACTTGGTCGATCTGAATGAATCTGAATCAACTTCAATGTTGGGAGAGAGCGCATCCCCTTTTATAGATGAAGGGGATGGCCTTACAAGTGAGAGGAAGAGAGTACGTATGCTTCTAAGCCTTGTTGTCCACGCCGGCGGGTACAGGATGATGGTAGGCGCCCACAGCACTGTTGGATGTCAGATGCACGTGGGAGGTTGTGTTGTTTTCTTCGGGTATGGCAGACGTCGGCGCCTGCCACACTGTTGATACCTGGAGGCATGTAAGGGGTTTTACCATATTCACCTGGTACGGTAAATGCCGGAGCCCACAACACTGTCGATGCCCAGAGGCATGTGGGGAGCCTTACCGTATGGGGGTTAATGGCGCCCACAATACTGTAGGGGAAAATGTCGGCGCCTACAACACTGCTTGGGTTCTGTCGTGCCAGGGAGGTCGTAGAGTACTGTTTCCACAGGTGTACAGGGTACAGACCCCGGTATCGCGGTTTGACTTGTGCGCCCTGCCTCACTTTCTCCGTCCGTTTCCTAGTCCTTACCGAGCGGGCGTCCCCGGTCGGTTAGTCCCAGTCGGCCCTGATCGAGCCTGTCGGAGAAGAGCAGTGAGCAGGGGTTTGGTGCATCCCCGGTCGGAGACGCGGGTCGGAATCAGAAGTAGTGCTTTGGCCAGGCCTTCCGGTCGGAGAGGCCGTCCGGAGGTGGTCTGGAGACCGAAGCGAGCGCTCCGGTCGGAGAGGTGGGCCGGAGTCAGAAACGGGCGCCGTTCCTCCTCGGCCAGACCTTCCGGTCGGTGATTGAATCGCCCTTCTGGCCTATCGTTTAGATACTTGGGCCAGCCCATGAGTTATGCGTTGTCTGCTTGGGCCAAGCCTTTGTTGGGAAGCCAGTCTGCCAGGGACCCCGGGTTTATGAACCCGACTGGAGTACAGGGAGCCGTTGGGGGTGAAAAATCTGCTAAGGAGGCGTGGGCGATGCACGTTGGTTTTGACCGCACAAAGAAGGCGACGGCCCAGCTGCTGAAGCAGGAGTACACCAACCTCAAGTTCTATGATGGTGAATCGGTGGAGGACTTCTCCCTCCGCCTGCAGCTGCTCATCAGTAAGCTAGGGAGGCACGACGTCACCATCAATGAAGAGGAAGCGGTCTCCAAGTACCTCCGCTCCGTGCCGGTGAAGTACATCCAGATCGCTCTCTCCATAGAGACGATGCTGGACCTGTCCACCTCACCATTGAGGATGGGACCGGCCATCTGCGGGCGGTGGACGAGCGCATGGAGCAGGCCACGGCAATGATGGACAGTGGCAAGCTGCTGTTGACAGAGGAAGAGTGGGCTGCCCAGATGAAGGAGAAGTCCAAGGAAGCCTCCTCCAGCCATGGTGGCGACGGCAAGCGCCGCGGCAAGGTTTCTTTGGAGAAGAAGAAAAAGGTCATGAATAGCCTATTAAAAATTCTACAACAACACTTAAGCCAAGATGTAAGACAATTATGAAGTGGAGCGAGTATTGCGCTAGCCTACTAAAAATGCAAGCCTCCTATCCACAATTCTAGTTGCTATAGTCTCCATGTCACACACAAAGGGCTAAGTCACTACTTCTAAGTTAGTGAGCTCTCAAAGACTAACTAAAGAGCCTCACTAACCACTAACAAGACACAAGCTAGCTCTCAAAACTAATTACACTAAAGAGCTTAGCTACACTAGGAAAGTAAATGCACAAGAGAGGTCGGAGGGTTATACCGTCGTAGCAAGTGATCAATCACAATATATCAATGAATACCAAAGAAATCCTCGGAGACAAGATGACACAAAGATTTTTCATCGAGGTTGGCTTGCTTGCCGGCAAGCTAGTCCCCGTTGTGGTGATTCACCTACTTGGAGGTTCACGCGCTAATAGGCATCACATGCCTAACCCGCAATCGGGTGCCGCTCAACCAACACAAGATAGGGATCACACAAGTCACGAGCAATCCACTAGAGTACCTTTTGGCTCTCTGCCGGGGAAAGGTCAAGAACCCCTCACAATCATCATGATCGGAGCCAGAGACAATCACCTTCCTTCGCTCGACGATCCTCGCTGCACCAAGTCATCTAGGTGGTGGTAACCACCAAGAGTAACAAGAGAAATCCGCAACGAAACACAATCACCAAGTGCCTCTAGATGCAATCACTCAAGCAATGCACTTGGATTCACTCCCAATCTCACAAAGATGATGAATCAATGATGGAGATGAGTGGAAGGAGTTTGGCTTAGCTCACTAGGTTGCTATGTCAATGGAAATGGCCAAGGGAGTGAGGCCAAGCTAGCCACATGCCTTAAATAGAGCCTCCAATGAAATAGAGCCGTTAGGCTCTACACTGCACAAAACACGGGGCGACCAAACACGCCGGTCGGGATGATCGGACGCGCGATGCCCAGCATCCGGTCACAGGGAGCCATCCACGTGTCCCCGCTTTCAATCTCGTCCATGCGATCTCAACGGTCGACTGCTCTCCTCAATGCTTTGAGTGGTGACGGACGCACCGCTGGCGAGATCGAATGCGCTCACGCCGAGTCCGCTCACACGCCCCCGCGCGCCACCAAACCAACGAACGAATGCGCTGTTAGTATGACTGGATGTGCCACCAACATGGAGTTTGGT